TTGGAACGCCCATAACTCGCCTTAACTCACTTGTGTCGATTTCGTAAAATCTTTATGGGATTCAGACATTTTAACTGCCTGGAATGACAAAAAAGAACTTAGATGAACTTTGTTCAGAAGTTGGTGGAAATCTTAGAGATTCAAGTACATGCAGTGTCGGCACATGTATTTGCATATTTCTCACCAAACTGAAGACGAGCATGCCAAATAAAATCCTCTGCACATTATTTAATTTAGGCAGAGACTCAATCCGACGTCCCATTGGATCAGCGCGGAAGTTTCTTTCACAACATTTTATGCCATCACATCGTGGTTTTAAGCATATAGGGAGAGATGTAATAACATCACATACAAGACCAATAACACTAGTTTAAATTTTTTAGGTAAGTCCATTCGCAAGTAACTGCAAGCCCTATCGGGCCAAAGTTACATATATTGATTGATTGTATGTTGCTTAACGTCCCTCTCGAGAATTTTTCACTCATATGGAGACGCCACCATTTGCCGATGGAGACCTGCAAAATTTGTCCTATACTCGGCACTTACGGCCATTGAGCAGTGAGGGATTTTTTTCGTGCCAACACCTACTGCGACACGGGACCTCGGTTTATAAGGTCTCATCTGAAGGACCGGTCTCTACGTCCCACAGTGGGATTCGAACCCGCGATCAACACCTTACTTCGCGACTCTAGGGCAGACGCTCTAACCATTGCGCCACGCGGGCGACTAAAGTTACATATAGGGTTGTGCACTATACTAGATTATTACTTTGCCTTACTTAAAGACAAAATTAATAAACTATGTTTGATATTCTTGGGCAACATCTTCATATTTCAGTTAGTTTTCTTTATACTTTTAAGGATCCTTTACAGTGTTGTATTATATTCACGTGACTCTTGTTTATTTTGGTATCCAAAAAGAATAAAAAAAATATTTACATTTAACCTATTAACAAGAGCTGTTTAATGACTTAGATGCTTCTGTGAAGCATCCTAGGAATAAATATGATAATATGATGTAACATTGATCTTAATGTAACAGGGGTATGGAATGACACAAAACTCCTGTCAAGGTTCTTGAATATATTTATTCTACAGTTGACTGACATGCAACTTTTTATCATGTTTATAGCCCTGTAAATATCATAAAACAACAATCAATATAAAAGTAAATAATTATCACACACAATCTTCATTATTTTACATGAAGATAATAATTGAATTATCATCGTTTATATCTACATTGTCAATCTAAGGGAGATAACTCTCGAATATATAAACCTTTACATATTACTCCCATAATAGTCAAATATTCAAGATTTAAAACATATAAATCTCAATCTCACCATTCTATGGGAATAGGCTTTCCCACAAAATTGTCTATTGTACAATGTCTACATGTATGAATGGTGATTTGTAATTTAATACAATATTTAAAAAATATTATCTATTAAAAAATATATCAACTGCTCACTTTGAACAATAATAAAAATATCTTTGATCATCATAAAAACACATAATCTGATTAACATTAAATTACTTCTGTCAAATATTTAATATTGATCTTGTAATCAACAATAAATATACATCATAAAATAACTTTCTCTCAAATTCATTCATTCACTTTAGCAAGTGCAAATGGAAATAACTTTTACATACAGGGTGTTTGAACAAACATGTCCCGACTTTGCAGTTTTAAAAGTTATGTAGCATTTATGAAAGGAAAGTTTGCGGAAAAATAAAGAACAAAGTTATACAATTTAATCAATTCAAGAGTTTTAAAAAGGATAGATCATTTATTTTAAAGACAGACATTTTAAGAAGATGGTCACTACAGGCAGGTTTTGATCTGACGTCATTTTATAACGAGTTCAAATGTCCATCGTTTTTTTTCGTCACCAGTTTCATTCTGTCTCTGTAGTTTCTGATAACATTTCTGCAAGAGTCCAAGGATATACATCTAATATCTCTTCTGATAGTCATTTTCAGAGCGCTTGTATCTTGTGGGGGTGGTGAATAAACACGATCCTTTAAATATCCCCATAAAAATAATCTAAAGGGTTTAGATCGGGTGAATGTGGTGGCCACTCAATGTTTGAGCGAAGGGATATAAACTTTTCTCCAAACCTGTGAGACAGCCATTCAAGCACGGTATTTGCGGTGTGAGGAGTGGCACCATCTTCGAACTCACGACCTCCCGATCACGGAGCGAGCGCTCTACCGACTGAGCTACCGTGAACGGTAGCTCAGGCAGAAATTTGGTTCTCAGAAAATAGTCAGGTAGCGTTGAGGTGTTACCGTTGTGGTTTCACCATCCTCTTCATTGAAAAAAGGGCCTATGATACCGGTACTGCTCATTGCCGCCTAGACTGTTACCTTCTGGCTATGTAGTGGTCTCTCTTCATAAAAGTCAGGCTTTGAAGTTCCCCAAAAACGCATGTTTTGCTTGTTTACATGTCCATCAAGTGTAAAATGTGCTTCATCTGAGAACCATATGACGTCGGTTAAAAAAAAAATGTTTTTCAACATCCACTTGGCAAAACAAAGACGGGAGAAAATATCGGTATCTTTCAGATGCTGCATTATTGAAATTTTATAAGGTGATTATTTTAAGTCGTATTTCAAAATTCTATTAACTGATGAGGAACTAATGTTTGAATCAAGTTCTCTAAATAGTCTTCTCACTGATTTCTGTGGTGTTTCCTGGATGATTGTCTTCACCATTTCGATATTTTCATCTGACCGTCCAGTCCTTGGCTTTATAGACGTGTCTTTTCTTCTGTCACCAATAGTCCAATACTGATCAAATTTTGACACAACCTGAAAAATCTGTTTTCTAGAGAGAAGCTTTTCATCTGGATACTTCCTTTTCAACAAGTGTTGGTGATTTTCTATTTGCGTAATACAGTTTAACAATATCAATGTAGAAATCTCTTTTATCTCCCATTTTTAAAATACCTGACTACCTAACTTTTGATGCTTAAGTAAGTAATTATGACGTCATAATATCTTATATTCATATTTTTAAACAATTTGCCGTAAAACTTGCATTTTTGTTATAAACATATTTTGTGATTTGGCAAAAATTTAAATATCCAAAGTCGGGACATGTTTGTTGAAACACCCTGTACTCTAGGATAAACATTTTAAGTATGAGATTAAGGTACTTGTTTACTCACGATATTTTAACAACAACGGGTCGCCGTAGTTATAAATGTCGTAAATTTAAAAAGTTGTGTCAATGAATAGTTTTATATTTTAAAACTATATATAAGAGTTACACATTACATATACAACTAACATTTGTGTCTTTCTTATTCTAATATTTATAATTTATCGGAAATATACTGTTTACGACATATGCCGTACATGTATGTATGCCGTATATCAGCGCGGTAAAATGTAAACAATCGTCTGTCATTTAACATCACCGATCATGATCGATGCATCATGACACGCTGGAAGAAACAAGGTTTCTCAAAGAAAATATCCCAGTACAAAATTCTCAGCTGCTCACGAATCGCTGGTCAGTAAGTAGGATTAATTTAGACCATAATTATGATGTCAATCGATCTACCGAGGATGAGACTGGACATGATGACAACATACATGCAATTGTTCCAGAACCGGCAGGTAGCGAAGTTCCCGTCTTCTTCAACGACTTAGAAAATTCTAGGTAATGCTTAAGTCTAAGACCATAAATTATTAGAAACGAGTTTTCTGTAGGTGTTAATACATACATGTAAATCTTTCGGCAAAAATATTGTTGCCTACATATAACACAGAAAAAGAGGTCGAGGGAAATAATAACCAAATCCATCAGCTGTTAATCTGACAATGTCAGTGACATGTAACGTGCTCAACTGCTGAATCCTATTCACTTTTAATGCATAAATAAAGTATAGTTTAAAATGATATGAACTTGTAATGATTGCTTTGACTGCCAAATATTTTTTTTTATTTCGATCTTTATATATGAATTATGATATAGGATTATAAAAGTGGATTTTGATTCAGTTTAATTGCATGATCAGTGCATAATTGTTATTGATCATTTAACTTAATGCAAATAACACTTTTTCTAAAGATATGACACTGCTTGGAGAGAAGGAAGAAGGGTGGTTTAGTTAGGGGTGTTAGCAGATGGGCTCTCTGGTTGTGATGTTTGTGGCATTCCTCTCCATCTTTCTCATACCATGGGAATACTAACTTGTGGATTAGGTTCATTCCTGAAAGTCCAATGTCAAAACACAACATGTCAGCATGTAAATAAAATAGCAACTGGAAAACGCCATGGAAAGATATGGGATGCAAATACCAAGCTTGCCACAGGTACATATTTTGTATTTATTTTTCAGTTACAGTACATGTATATTATGAAAAGGACCAGGTTAATATCCTGTCATGAATATATTCTATTTTTCATAAATACATCTGAATTATATATTTTTAGGAATGGTGCATACAGGCATGGGGCCTTCTCAGGTGAATACACTTTTAACATCATTAAATATCCTCCCAATCAGTTCTAGGACACTGCAAAACAGACAAAATGAAACAGGAACAGTTATGGAGAAAATTGCAGTAGAAACTACCAGAAGCAGCCTTCATGAAGAAATTCAGGCAACTGTAGAGTATGTACATGCAGAAAAACACATCCATTGTAATATGAAAATTTTGGTTTTGAATATTTAGGACACTAAAATATATATGATTTAAATGAAGTTATAATGTGTTTATCAGAATGTAAATGGATAGACGATGTCATTTAAAATTTTAATATTTCTATTCTCAAATATATTCAACTTTAACATATTACCTGTAAGCAGTAAATCCTATCATTTTCAATTAAAGATTTTAAAATAGTTTTCCTAAAGATATACAACACAGTAACCTATTACTATATAAAATATTCATTTTAAGAGATTAACCACAATTAAGGTGGGAAAAACCAACTAGCTTCATGTTTCTGATGGCTTTCCTGTGATTTTTAAGGTATGAAGGTACAGACGAGCTAACAGACAGTGTTGATGCAGGTTGGCAGAAACGAGGCAGTGGGCGATCCTTTGACAGCCTCTCTGGTATGTTGTGCATAATTTTTATACCCCCCACTTGAAAAGTGGGAGGGTATATAGTGATCGGTATGTCCGTCTGTGTGTACGTCCATCCATCTGTCCATCCTTCCGTCTGTACGTCCGTCTGTTATGCTTTGGGGTACCCATCTCTTATCCACAACTCCTCTTGTACCACTGGTCAGTGGATGAAATTTAATGAGACATTCACAGAATCTTTGTTACATAGTGCCATTGTTTACTTTTTGATTGGACACATATTTTGGGTTTCCCAGAGCAAAATATGGACATTACCATTCTTTCTATAATATTGGAGGGTACCCATCTCTTATCCGCAACTCCTCCTATACCACTGGATGAAATTTAATGAAACTTTCACAGAATCTTTGTTTCATAGTGCCATTGTACTTACTTACTTACTTACTTATCCTCTCCATGCCCCGGAGGACGCATGAGGCCGTAAATTGTGCACCACCTATTTTACTTTTTGATCTGACACATATTCGGGTCTCCCAGAGCAAAACATGGACCTTGCCTTTATAATCATATGGAAGGCAGGGGATACCATTTAGTGAGCTCATTGCTCACAGTACCTCTAGTTTTCTTTTAAAAAGGAGTTGGATGTTTAACACAGTAAAACTTCAATTGTTTAAATTATTTTGAATTATAATAGTTATACCTATTGTATACAATATTTATATATTTTATAACAAATGTATTTCATAACAGACCTATTATTTATATATTTTATCACAAATTCATTCCTTAGATAACTCAATCTTCATGACTTTTTATTTGAAACAATAATTTTAGGTCATTGCTCAATGATTGGATCTCAGACAGGTAAAATCATTAATTATGATATACGAACAAAATGCTGCAAAATTTGTGAGAGTGCTACAAGAAGTGGAAAAGACCCCAAAGATCACGACTGCCGAAAAAACTGGGAAGGTATTTTATTTTCTGAGAGAGAGAACTGACCCACCTATCCTTTTCTCTCTATTATTCTCACTTTCAAAAATAACTAATCATCATGCAAATGCATGTACTTAAAACTGCTTGAAAGCACTTGTGGAAAACAGAGCAAGCAAATTTATTTTGTGCAAGACATGTGAAACAATATATCCCATGAGTATGGTGTCCAGATAGGGCCTTTTACAAAAGCTCACCAGTGATTTCAGAAAAGCAGGCCTTTGCGCTTACAAACAACAACACATCAAGTGAACACAACTTCCCACAACACGAAATCACACTAACATGCAACATGTCAACGCACAGGAATTTTAAAAAATACTGTAAAACAAAAACATCCAAGAATACAAACATGCTTTATTAGTAATATACATGTAAATAAAAATGAAAAAGTGAAGTTATGTTTTCACACTGTATTTGTTAGAAAAAAAATCATGGAAATTCATTTAAAATCATAGCAAAAATTATATGTAAAAATATCATGATAAATGTAGTATCATGATATTGTTTTTAAATTGTGATATATCTCGATAAAAAATTTTGGCAATACCCATCACTAATAACATAGGTAACTTTATTTATTAGATTACTTTTATCTGATAACCCCATGCTTGACTTTATTTGAAGGAATTCTGCAAAATGATCCATTTGAAATGAGTTGTAGAGTGTATATTGTAAAATATAAACAGTTCTAGTAGCACATAAAACATTTAACTAACTACAATAGTTTCATCTCAAGCTTTACTGGACTTCTTTTATATAGGAAGCTCTAAGGCGATGGAAAAGGATATGGTAGCTAAAATGGTCTCCAGAAAAATGGAAGAAGGGGTGAACATAACAAATGTGGTTGCAGATGAGGACACCACTACCTTTTGCCATTTGAGAAACGTCCACAAAAACATTACAAAGATTAGTGATAAAAACCATATAAGGAAAATTTTCTCTTCAAATTTGTATGGTTTACAATTAAAACACAGATCACTGAGTACTAAAGTACTTCGGTACTTGGTAAAATGTTTTAATTACATGATATCACAAAACAAAGGGAATCCGGTGGGAGTACAGAGAGGGTTGGAAGCACTAAGCAGACACCCCTTTGGAGATCACAGTGCTTGCAATGAATCTTGGTGTACCCGTATCAGCAATCCGAAACATAAATATTCTGCTTTCCCATATGGGAAACCACTCAAGGACAGCCATCTTCAAGAGTCCATTCAACTTATCTGCTCCAAGCTACTGAAGGACACTTCCAAACTTTCAAGATCAGGAAGTACACGAGCAAATGAAGCATTCAACAAATCTGTCTCCCTAAAAGCTCCTAAGAATCATCACTTTGGTGGATCTGCAAGCCTCAGTTACAGAGTTGCAGCAAGTGTTGCAGAGAAAAATGCAGGGCAGACATATCTGGTTGAGGTAAGTCATATATAGTTCTGCATTTGAGTGATGATGACAACTTAACATGTCATAGATTGAATATTTAGAACGCCATTGAGTCAGTGATATATTATTTATTGAACTTTAACATTATAACATCCTACTTTTAATAGGTGAACAGAAGAGTTGGTCTCTCCCCAGGAAAACTCACAAGGAAATTCTGCTATTTGCGTGATTCTCAAACAAGAAAGAGAAAAGCCATCGCAAGAACAAAGAATGCAAAGAGGAAAAGAATGCAACTGAAAGCCAAGAAGTGAGATTTTAAAATTTAAAGTTATTAAAAGTATTACTCTACCTCCAACCTCTTTGTGGGGTTTGATCGTGTTGGACTACTCAGTCTGTCACACACCTAGAGCTTTACTGTATCATAATTTTTGTAAGGTGTATATAAAGATAGTATTAAATGTAGACAGAAAAAAATTAGTTGTGTAATTCATGCATACTTGTATATATTTACTTTGCTCTTCTTGATAAGTTTTGAAAATCAATTTTGTTTTGAAGTTTCAAATAGCTCAGTTATTGATATTTAAAATTTTATTGCCTTTATAGATGCCAGACTACAGCATGTAAAGAGATAAGAGAGGGGCCTACATATGAGTCTGGAGTTGGAATCTCTGATTCCAATACTGTAGTTGATGAAATTCCACCACCTTCATCTGCACCACAACCACAGAGTTTGTCAACCAAAGACAAAAATTTTGTCTTCTTTGACCTGGAAACAACAGGACTTGGTATTGATGAATTCTATTTCTCTAAATTAAATCTGTACAATTGATTTTAAGGAAAACTTCAAAAAAGTTGTCTTATATATATTAAAAATCATAAAAGAAAGCCAATGCTGATTTTGGTAAAAAAAAAAGAAAAAAAAAAGGTTAATGAATGTCATTGTTGATTTTGTTAGTTTTTTTTTTTTTATTTAATGAATGTCAATGCTGATTCTTTTTTATTTCAGCAAGAACATCACACATTCTGCAGGTGGCTGCCATTTGTGGGAAGGAGACATTTTCTTCCTATGTAATGCCTAAGAAGCAAATTACACCCTCTGCCTCCACAGTTACTGGCCTAAAGCTTGATCATGGAATCCTCAATCACCAGGAGAGGAAAGTCAATGCTGTTTCAATTTCAAGTGCACTTGGTTCTTTTTTAAGCTTTATTGAGAAGCAAGGCAGTGTTATTTTAGTTGGCCACAATATCAAAAGTTTTGATGTTCATGTTCTTTTTCATGCTCTAGATTCTTGCTCTCTGTTAGATCGAATGTCAAAATGTGTACAAGGTTTTTTAGATACCAAATTTCTATTCAAACTTGTCCATCCCAATTTGTGTTCATATAGACAGGAACATTTATCAGAAGTATTGTTAAATTGTACTTACAATGCACATGATGCTGTAGAGGATGTTTCAGCTTTACAAAGGTTATTTGACACTGTTCATTTTTGTGATGATGAACATTAATTCATCCTCTACATTTACATTTCAGTATGCTTTGAGTGTCCATAACTACCAGAAAGTTGTAGATAGAAACATTCCATCCTTAAAATGTTTAATTGATAAAAATGTTCTGAGTGTCAGAATGGCAAGGAAGGTGGCAGGTAGTGGCCTAGACTTTGATTGTCTCAGATTAGCACATTCTAGAAGTCCTGATGGAATTAATAATCTATTCACTGAGCAGTGTGACAACAAATCTGTCAGAGTTACGAAGTGCAAGAAAATTATTGATATTGTTACACAGTTTTTCATGTCTTTAAATGAAAGTTAATTGTCTGATCACTACAAGCAGGTAACAACATTGTCTTTGTTTGTAAGGCTCATTATATTAAATGTATTTTAGAGGAACTTGGATTTAATTCTACAAGTGGTAATCCAACTTATACTCATAGTTCCCTTTCTAAGGAAGAAATTCTTCAAAATCATATGTCAGTTTTGAATATTTTTAATATTCCAAACAACCAAAATGAATTCGAATTACCATATTTACATTGGATTCCGAAACTTCATAAAAATCCTTACAAACAAAGATACATAGCGGGTTCCAGTAAATGTTCAACCAAGCCTCTATCTTACTCCTCACTAAGATATTAACAGTGGTGAAGGAGAAACTTCAAGAGTACTGTGCAACAATATATTCCAGAAGTGGTGTAAATCAGATGTGGATACTTAAAAATTCCAAGAAACTTTTGGAAAATTTGAAATCGCAAGATTTTACCAAAATCAACAGCTTAAAAACTTACGACTTTTCAACTTTATACACAACCATTCCCCACGATAAATTAAAGTCCGGGCTTTTTGATATCATTGACAGCTGCTTTTTCAATAAAAATGGAACTCGTAAATATACTTACGTTGTCATTGGTCATTTGCAAAATTATTTTGTTAAAAAACATTCTGATTGTACACACAAGTACTCTGAAGTTGACATTAAAAAGATGCTTGAGTTTCTGATTGACAATATCTATGTGGTTTTTGGAGACCAGGTCTTCCAACAATCTATTGGAATTCCTATGGGTACCAATTGCGCCCCGTTATTAGCCGACCTTTTTTTGTATTCATATGAAGCAGAATTTGTCCAAAAACTTGTACGTGAAAAGAAGAAATCACTTGCTGTGGCGTTCAACTCGACATTTAGATATATCGACGACGTATTGTCAATTAACAATGGCTATTTTCATTCTTATGTCGATACGATATATCCTGGTGAACTTGAGATAAAAGATACCACAGAGTCCGACACATCTGTTTCATATTTGGATATTTTACTTGAAAAAGACGTTAATGGTAATCTAACAACCAAGCTTTATGATAAACGTGATGACTTAACTTTTCAATCGTCAACTTCCCTTACTTATGCAGCAATATACCTTCATCACCTGCATACGGGGTATATATCTCTCAGTTGATTCGATACGCAAGAGCATGCTCTACGTATGTACATTTTCTAAAACGAGGTAAATTATTGACAAATAAGTTGATGAAACAAGAATATCAGCTGTCTCGTCTAAAGTCATCATTTCGTAAGTTCTCTGGGCGATACAATGACCTTGTCAGCAAATACAATTTATCATTGAGTCAAATGCTGACTGACGTTTTTCATACTAATTGTTAGGCCATTATTGACACACTGAATTGTCGACGGATTTTTCCGTTGTTTCCCGATCATGACAAGGAGCACACGGCGGGTGTGACCGGTCGGCAGGGGATGCTCACTCCTCCATGGCACCTGATCCCACCTCTGATGTTTGGAGGTCCGTGTTTGCTCTGCTCCTATTTTGTATTGTATAATGGACTTTTGAGCTTGAATACTGTTCGTTATCTCCATATATTTCATGCATAAGGCCTGGAGTGTTGCATTCCTGTATTTTCCTAACAAACATTGAGGTCATACATACAAAATTAATGAAAGCAGATGATTATTAGTTAAATTATATGAAAATTTATATTTTGCCTTGAAATGGATTATGTTAAGTCATGTAAGAAAAAAAGTACATTTTTTTTACTTTGTTCATGCAGTAATTCATTTTTAACTTATTAATCATTATATTTATTACATGTAAATTATTAATTTATTTTGACTTAATGTTTTAAAATTTATTTTAAATTTTATGGAATGTGTTTTTTTATATATTATGAAATTTTGTATTAACTCTTTTGGTTTTACTATAACTTAAATTGAGAGATGTATGAAAATTGGAAAAGAGGATAGAGAAAATTCGAAATATTATAATTAAGTTTGTTTCCTTTGTCTTTAAAATGTCAATTATTTTTGCAGTTCAAAGTATCAGACAGGGTGACCTGAAAAAGATTTTGTTATGTACATCAACTTTTTTTATTGTACATCTTAATGAGAACATAATGAAATATCGTATGAAATTGAAAAATAACAGAGGAAATTCAGGTTATTTTGTAACAAAATATCTCAATATTTTGATCATTGACACCCACTTTGTAATTTATTTTTATTTCTTTTATGGTGTTTTCTATATGTATAAATCAACCATTTAGAGTTATCATCAGTCAAAATTTTAGAATATTTGAATGAAAAAGGTTCATTTTTATGCTTAAAATGTTATAAAACAGAGGAAATTCGAGTTGCAGAAAATAAAAACGTGATTGATTTTGGAATTGATTTTATATTATTTTTAAGATAACACCTTAAATAAAAAAAATTCAAGTGATAAAATGTTTCATTTATGTGCTCTCAAAAAAAAAAAATATTGTAAAAGATGAAAGTAACCTTTAAAAATTCATATCTACAATGGTGAATTCATGCTATAATTTCATTGGCTCATAGGAAAAAAAGTAGGTCATTGACCTAGATGTTTTAAAATGGATTTCATCTATACATACATATGTCTTACTAATTCAATAGCTGAGTTTTGATTATCATCAGTGGATTTTTTTTTTATTCTGAGTAAACAAGTACCTTAATACAAGTAACTTACCAGAGATGGAAATCTGTCTCAAGTCAAAATGTCTTTTGTGAATATATGTGGTCTGGTCTGATCACCCACTGAACAACGAATGGTCATAATAAAGCGGGAAAACTCCAACTCAGTCAATAAAAGTAATAGAATCCGACCTTTCAAATCAATGACCAATAAAAACCAAAATAAGAATAACCACTTCAAAACACCTGACCAATGCCCTTAGCTATATATATAAGTATGTACAGGTGAGGGAGAACTAAGGGGTGCGCAGCAATGTTAAGGCTTCCCGAAGCTTTATATGCGCTAAAAACATAACACTGCATTGCAAAGTCGATTTTTATTTTTATTTGTAAGTTATGTACTTAAGTACAGCCAATTTATATAAAGAGTTCTATAGGTTATATATAAACGTATTTGTTACGATATCACATGACCTCGTTGATCACGTGACGGTCATTTCTACTTTTCTGAAGTGTTTACTCTCGTCTTCAGCATACCGTTCACGGTAGTTCAGTCGGTAGAGCGCTTGCTCCGTGATCAGAAGTTCGCGAGTTCGAATCTCGGCCGCGACTGAGCTAAGTCGATAAAAACAGGTAGCAACTGTTCCTTTGTTGTTTTTTTTTAGGTCACCTGAGTCACTCAGGTGACCTATTGCTATCCGTTTTTGTCCGTCGGCGTGTGTCGTGCGATGTGCGTTAACATTTGAACATTTTTAGCTTCTTCTCTGAAACCGCTCAACCAATTTCAACTAAATTTGGCATATAGCATCTATGGGTGAAGGGGAACAAAAATTGTGAATTTCATGGTCCCTGCCCCCTGGGGCCTGAGGGGTGGGGCTAAAACCACCAAAATTAATGCAATCTTTAAAAATCTTCTTCTTTACTCCTGGACATCAAGCAGTCAAACTGTTGGCATCATTGTAATAAGCATTGAGTCCTCTACCAAAATTGTGAAATTCATGGCCCCAGGGTCGGGGGTTCTGGTGCTAGGGCGGGGCTATATAGATCACATAGTGAAAGTGCATTATTTCTTTGAAAATCTTCTTCTCTGCTCCTGGGTATTAAATAAACTAACTAAGTATATAGTAATGATGAGTAAGAGTACCTCTTCCAAAATTGTGAAATTCATGGCCCCAGGGGCAGGGGTTCTGGTGTTAGGGCGGGGCTCTATTGATTATATAGTGAAAATTCATTAATTCATTGAAAATCTTCTTCTCTGCTCCTGGGTATTAAATAAACTAACTACGTATATAGTTATAATGAGTAAGAGTGCCTCTTCCAAAATTGTGAAATTCATGGCCCCTGGGGCAGGGGTTCTGGTGTTAGGGCGGGGCTCTATTGATTATATAGTGAAAATGCATTAATTCATTGAAAATCTTCTTCTCTGCTCCTGGATATTAAATAAACTAACTAAGTACATAGCTAGGATGAGGAAGAGTGCCTCTTCCAAAATTGTGAATTTCATGGCCCCTGGGTCAGGGGTTCTGGTGCTAGGGCGGGGCTATATAGATCACATAGTGAAAGTGCATTATTTCTTTGAAAATCTTCTTCTCTGCTCCTGGGTATTAAATAAACTAACTAAGTATATAGTAATGATGAGTAAGAGTACCTCTTCCAAAATTGTGAAATTCATGGCCCCAGGGGCAGGGGTTCTGGTGTTAGGGCGGGGCTCTATTGATTATATAGTGAAAATTCATTAATTCATTGAAAATCTTCTTCTCTGCTCCTGGGTATTAAATAAACTAACTAAGTATATAGTTATAATGAGTAAGAGTGCCTCTTCCAAAATTGTGAAATTCATGGCCCCTGGGGCAGGGGTTCTGGTGTTAGGGCGGGGCTCTATTGATTATATAGTGAAAATGCATTAATTCATTGAAAATCTTCTTCTCTGCTCCTGGATATTTAATAAACTAACTAAGTACATAGCTAGGATGAGGAAGAGTGCCTCTTCCAAAATTGTGAATTTCATGGCCCCTGGGTCAGGGGTTCTGGTGTTAGGGCGGGACTCTATTGATTATATAGTGAAAATGCATTAATCCTTTGAAAATCTTCTTCTCTGCTCCTGGGTATTAAATTCAGTAACTAAGTACATAGTTATGATGAGCAAGAGTGCATCTTTCAAAATTTTGAATTTCATGGCCCCTGGGTCAGGGGTTCTGGTGTTAGGGTTGGGCTCTATTGATTATATAGTGAAAATGCATTAATTCTTTGAAAATCTTCTTCTCTACTCCTGG